ACAAATCTTTGACTATTTCGGAAAAAAACAATTGATTGAAGCGGTTGAAAGAGGTGACAAAAAAACCGAAGTGGCTAAGACATTTGACATTCCTTTAAGTACATTGTCTACGATTTTGAAGGACAAAAATAAAATCATTGCTGCGTCATTAAACGGTGGTCGGAAACGAAACAGTAAAGGTGAGCATCCAAGACTAGAAGAGTGTTTAGTACAATGGGTTAGGCAAGGCAGAGGGCAAAATGTGCCTGTAAGTGGTCTCTTACTCAAAGAAAAAGCAAAATCATTCGCCAAAGAGTTGGGCATCCCGTTTTTCTCAGCTAGTGATGGATGGTTAATGAATTTTAAGAAAAGAAACAGTATTGTTTTCAAAAATATTTGCGGAGAAAGTTCTAGTGTTGACGATAACGTGTGTTCAGAGTGGCATCGTAAACTTTCAACTTTGTTAAAAAATTACGAGCCACGAAACGAGTTCAACACAGATGAAACCGCTCTATTTTTTAAATGTTTACCTGATAAAACTTTCACTTTTAAAGAAGAAAAATGCCACGGTGGGAAACATAGTAAAGACAGGTTAACGATTTTATTAGCAGTAAACATGGACGGCTCCGAAAAGTTAACTCCACTCCTCATAGGAAAAGCTGCCAAACCTAGGTGTTTAAGGGCATACGTTCATTTCCTATAACTTATCGTTCAAATAAAAAGGCATGGATGACGACAGAATTATTTAATGAATGGTTGTTTTCACTCAATGAAGACATGAAAAAACAGGAACGCAAAATTCTACTGTTTTTAGACAACTGTACAGTTCATAATAACCCCCCATCTTAAACTAATATAGAACTTCAATATTTTCCTCCCAACACCACATCGAAGTTGCAACCACTCGACCAAGGTATAATTAAGAATTGTAAAACTTTTTACCGTCAAGAAGTTGTAAAGAATGTTTTAGAATGCATTGAAAGTGAACAAACTCCAAACATTAGTGTATTGATTGCTATGATATTTGTTAATAAGGCATGGAAAAAAGTGGCTCCTTCTACAATACTCAAATAAATCGGGATTTACCATAGAAATTCAAGAAACAGAAAACGACCAGTTGAATATTGAATCGATACAATGGAATTCCCTGCCAACTCAAGAAAATGTATCTTTCACTGATTATGTCAATGTAGATGAAGATGTTGCTGTATGGGGAGTCCTTTCTGACGCCGACATTTTGGAAAATACATTAAGCATTGATGAAGACAATGAAGATGACACAAGTCCTCTACCTCTTGTGACTTTAAAAAAAGCCAGTTCATCCTTGGAAAAATTACGAAATTTTTCGCTCCAGTTAGAAGTCACTGTTGAGGTTTTTGATGCTTTATTTACTATAGAAAATACTATTGAAAAAATAAAACTAAATTCAATAAAGCAGAAATCCATTACAGATTTCTTTAAAAAATAATATTTTATAATAATAAGAAATAATTAATATGTATGTATGTATGTATGTATGTACAATAATAAAAAACAAAATTTTTTTCTTAACTCTCTGTAATTCGAATTTTTTTTTGCCCTCTCGTTATTTCGAACTACTCAACAATTCGAGCTCTTGGTAATTCAAAGTTTTTCAGCAGTCCCGTCTACTTCGAATTACCGAGAGTCGACTGTATATCACAAACATTTTATGGATTTTCAACTTCGAAATTTCTTGCAAATTTTCGCGATTTTGACATATTTTGTATACATTTGAACTTTAAATGCTTGTAAATAAAAATCGCGACTAACGATATTTGATTTTTTTTCTCTACGATAAGTAGGTACTACTTATAATAAACCTTGTATTAAATCTTAAAGATTTTTTTGAAATGCTAATTTTTTTTTCAGCATTTCAAAAAAAAAAAAAAAATTAGAAAAATTGAATATTTTAATATTTTAAAAATTCAATAATAAATATAGATAAATTTTGGTGAAAATTTCAAGTATATACAATGATTTGCTTTTGCAAGTTACAGTAAAGTAAAAAATCGATTTTGTCGAAAACCATAGTTATTCGTAAAAATTCCCGTTTTCCGTTATTTTTTTAGGATTTTTCTTGACGCTTTTGAAAGCTACTAGAAATTATTTACTTTTGACCCCCCCTCCTCATCAAAGTACTAACTAGATTAACTTTCTTTATAGAAACTAAACTGAAGTTTAAAAAACAAAGCACTATTATCTATTAATACTCCAAAACATGATGAGTGATGACAAACACAAAAATAAAACACACACACACACACACATACATCATAGTTAAAGCAATACATTCATTACTCCGTTTAGAATCTAATTGTTGAGTTTTTAGTAGTTTATGAAATAGTAATAAATTGGGAGAGGGACCTAAGCCTCCTTAACTCTCAAACGATTTTATGAGGCCTAGATTTTATAAATTATAAGTTATAATTTTAAGAGGGTTATGACTCTGATGTTCTGACTAACTTGCAGTACCTTTTAAGAGTACAGTTTAAGAGACAAGAATTGAGTGTATACTGTATCTCGTTATTTAGTAGATAAGTCATTACATTAAATGTGTTAAATTTTAATTCAACGACTAATCATTGTATTTGTTCGCGCAAGTTATCGAGTGCGATAACTCTAAATAGATTTTATTGCCGCCCTAATCGCGACTCCTCTCCTCTGGGGTCGATGGCCCTATTATATGCTATTCTGAAATCGATTGCCTGACAGTAAAGCGCGATTCACACTAGTACGACACGACACGACACGGCACTACACGACAAAATATTATATCCATATAATTGAATACGGTAATTCACACCGATCCGTCAAGCTCCGTAACGACACCACACGACACGACACGGCACGACAAGACATCCTCGCCAAGAATGTTTTGTCGTGTCGTGTCGCTGCCTGTCAACGTCTGTCGGTACAATGTGAATTCAAAAACAATATCTGTCCGACAATATCCGTCAATTGATGTCAATTTGTTTTCGGATGCCACAGGACCCACAACATCCTTTCAATTTTTTTTATTACAATTTAAAAAAAAAAAATGAATTTAGAGATGCTTATTGAGTTGGTTAGAGAAAGAAAATGTTTGTATGATATGAGTGAAAAAAATTATAGTGACCACCAGCTAAAAGAAAATTTATGGAGAGAAATTGCAAGCACATTAAAAGAACCAGGTAAATCAATTATTTTTAATAATATTACTTATTACTTATTAGCAATAGTATAAATTTTACATTCTGAGCAGATCGATGAATGTAATGTGTATTTTTTATTGTTTGTGTCTGTGTACATGATATAAGTAGTCGAAATAAGGTGCTTGTGATTGGAAAGTGAATCTAATAAGTGCATCAAGGAGTTCAAAATTTAATATTATGTTGTTATTATTAAAAAAAAAAAGTGTAGGCTATATTTCAATTGTACCAGAAAATATTTTCTGATATTATTGTGATTGAAGTAATTAATTTTAATATTTTAGTAGGTATCTAATTATATATTTTATTGATTTTAATATATAAATTCGTCCAAATTTGAATTTAAAATTTAATTAAAAAAAACAACTGTGCTTATATATTTTTTTTTATTTCAGTTGAAAACTGTAAAAAATCATGGACAAACCTAAGGGACGCATTTAGACGGGCTGCTAAAAAATCAGTTACCAAGTCTGGACAAAAATCCAAAAATATTAAAAAATGGAAATATGAAGACGAGATGAGTTTTTTAAGACCACATATGAAGGAAAGAGACTCAATAAGTAACATTGAATCCATGGTAACCGATGATGACGATTCTGATGATAACGAAGATCAATGTGAAGAATCGGACAATTTGAATTCTTCGTCCGAAGATACTCATGAAGTACAATCAATACAGAGTCCAAATTCATTAACTTCAACACCACAACCGTTTCGTAAGCCAGTATCAAAAAACAGCTCCGTATCCAAAAAAAAAATTAAATTATCAGATAACTATCCTGAATCCGCATCTAAAACATTAATGCAATATATTATACAACAAAAAGAAAATGAAACGAAATCTAAAGAAGATGAAAAAAATTTAGATGTAAATGATAAATTTTTTTCAAGTATGTGTTCCATGGTCAAACAATTTTCATCATACCACCAACATGTAGCGAGATCCAAAATTTTTTCAATTGTCTCAGAACTAGAATTACAGCACATAAACCAACAATCATGTAATCGACCACAAACGACACCAAATCCACAGTCTGTATCTCATACACCAATACATGACCAACAAGACACTTATCAGTACCCGATCCCAAGTACCAGTCAATACCATTTTGCATCATCTACACCACATCTTTCACACGGTCAACAATATAATTACGAGTCTGAAACATCATCTGACAACAGTTATTTTAATATAGTACATACACAAGGTAAACAATAATATTCCTCTCTCATAATATTGTGCCAGTCAGAAGATTTTAATTCAATTATCTACATTGTTTTTTATTAACATGTGTCTTATTTTAAGTATTAATATTTTCTTTGACATTTTAAATTTAACTATAAAAAGGTTTATAAAAGTTATTATTTTTATTTTACATGCATTTAGCTAGATATTTTGGTTTTTTTTCTATTATTTGTATTTTATGTACAATGTTTTTTAGTTTCTATTAACATAATATGCAAGGACTGCAATAATTAAATATTTGTTTATTAATGTTATGTTATTTCATTAAAAATTATGCTTTTTAAAGTTTAAATGTATTTTGTATTGTTCAATTTTGTATTTCAAATATTTATACCAGACTTTGATCATTATAATTAATTTTATCATAGGTACTATACGTTTTAAACATAATTTAATATAATAATAACACAACTATTTAGGTATTGATGAATAATCATATAATATTAATTTTTTCACTCATAATATTACAAAGAATAAATTGTTAAACCAACTAATGTTAATAATATAATTAGGTACGTAATTTATGAAACAAAACAATAACATTACAGTATAAATTTATAAAAAAATTATTTCCAATGTAATTGTCCAGCTGGAGAGCAAAAAAATGTTTTATATTTATCTCGGTATTCGAATGCGCGTTTTTGTGCACTGCCTCCTTGTCGAGGGAATGACCTTATGTGATTAGGTAAACTTGTCGAATTTAATGGCAGTTCATGATTTTGAGTTTCTGGTCCATCTTTTTTTATAAAGTTATGAAGAATGCAAGTAGTCATAACAATTTTGTCTGCGTTTTGAGGTAACGCTTTAAGACGTCTACAGTAAATGCGGAACTTGGCAGTAATTTGTCCAAAAGCATCTTCAACCACTTTTCTCGCCCTTGAAAGCCGTTCGTTGAATACTTTTTTTTGCTCATCTTCGTATATTTGGGGACTTGGGTAAGGTCTTAATAAATAATTTTTCAGTGGGAATGCCTCATCACCTATAATAACATACGGAAGTTTCTCATTTGTCCCAGGAAGTTCACGATCACTTGGTATATTCATTTTGTTTTTTTTGAGAGCTTTTTCCATATTCGAATGTGACAAAATACCACCATCGCTGTTTTTCCCATAGGCTCCAATATCCACAGCAATGAACTTATACTGGGCATCTACTAGTGCAAGTAATACAATGGAAAATGTTTTTTTATAGTTGAAGTACAATGATCCGCTGTTAGGGGGTGCTTCAATTACCACGTGCTTGCCATCCAGTGCGCCAATGCAATTCGGGAAATTCCATATTTCCCAAAATTCATTGGATATTCGTTCCCAATCTTCTTTTTTAGGGGTGGGCATAGTCTCTTCTTTCATATTTGAAATAATAGCTTCACAAACTTCTAACACAATAGATTGAACAGTAGAATGACCTAATCGGAAACTGAAGGAAATTGTTTGGTAAGAATCACCGGTTGCTAAAAACCTAAAAAAGTTATGTTAAGTTGTATTAAGAATCCTAAACCATGTACTACGACTAGTCTTGTAAAGTACTTGAGTAAAAGTATTCAAATACTTTTTAAGTACTCAAATACGTATTCTAAATAGGTACATTTGAAAAAAGTGCTTGGGCGCAGTATTTGAATACTTTTTTTGGAAGTATCTGTATTTAAAATCAAATACTATTTTTAAATACTTTTAAACGAAAACATTTAATCTAATTGCATTACCTTTGCAAAAATATTTTTGATTTTTACTCAACACATTTTGTAAAAATTCACACATTTATTTTGTAAATTTTTATTTTTTAGTACAGATAATTCCGACTTTTTATCTTATTTTATTAACAATTATATGGTAATATAGTAAGTTAGTACCTACTAATAGTAACTATTTAAGTATAAAACACAAATTAATTTAAAAATATATTAAAGTGTACAAACCTTAAGCACACTGCCAGTTTTTCCTTAGGTGGAATTGATTCCCTAAATGGTGTATTTGTTTAGTGATCTTGTCCTTGATTTTCAAAAATAAAACATTAAACTGAAATTTCGTCATGCGAAAATATTTAAAAAATTTATCTTCGTGGTCTTCCAGCTGTTTACATAATGTTGCATATTCTCCTTCAATTTTTCGTTTTTTTAATATTTCGTGGACCCATATTGATCTTTTTTTTTGCTTTTTTTTAGCCATTTCTATTTCTTGAGCTTCCTCTTCATCTAACAATATAGCCACCATTGCCAAATCAGAATTGGAAAAATGTTTGAACATTATGAAAAACACAACCTCTCGGTAACAAAAACGAAAGTGGAATGAATATTTTATAAGTTTTATTTACAGAGTCAAATTTGGTCGTATGCGTCGTAACGTGTCTGAGGTTGCAGGTTTGGTGTGAATTCATAGTGTCGTTCCCGTGTCGTGTCGTGCCGTGACGTGATGTGACGTGTCGTGTCGTGTCGTGTCGTACTAGTGTGAATCGCGCTTAAAAACGGATTAGTAGGTCAACGGCCCTCACAATCACATATCTTTACGGAATTATAACAGCCGTAAAGATTACGTACAGATATTGCCCTATCTCAGGTGATATAGGGTCATTAGCCACTAATTTCGGATAGCGTATTTTTTTTAGTGTTGTCGGAGACACCGGCATGAAGAATAGTAACTCCTCCGTGCGACGCCTTCGTGGTAACAAGTCGTCGGCACGTTGCCGCCTCAGACCGTCTTGTGAACTTCGTCAAAGTGTCCAAGTGTGCGCCCGCTTTAGATTTTTAGATTTTTACCTTCACCTAGGTCGGTTTTCTTGTATGTTGAGTTTGTGTTTGTAAATCAAAACGGTTACACCTCTCGCGATCTCCGCACTTCGTTAAACTTAAATACATATATATACATTGTCTGGCGATCTTTGTTTGGTACTGATCCGTATATATATATATATATATCGTTGTTGCGACATCCGCACTCCGCTAAACTTAAATATATATATATATATATATATACAGTGTCTTGCGGTCTTCGTTTAGAATTGAGGCTTTGTCGTTCCGATCGTCGCTAAATTAATATAACGTTACAACGCGACTTCCGTTGCGTACCGATCGGTCGACGTGTGTGAATTGCAACTTGCAAGTGTTGTCTACTATCAGCTTATTATCATTATTTTGGTTGCATGTTATTATACCGTCGTGCTCAAGAAGAAACAGCTGACTAGTGACCTGACTGTCGCCGTCAATTGGTCACCTGCCAACAACAACATCGGCATAGGAACGGAGTCACGTAAATACTGTCATTATTTTTATATCTTATAGCAGAGGTTCCCAACCCGTGGTACGCGTACCACTAGTGGTACGCGGAAGGCTCGTAGGTGGTACGCGAAGAAATTTTTTTATTACTATTTGCATTCAATATTATTTAGTTTAGTTTATTTAATATTAGCTAATTTTATAAAATTATTATTTTATCAAAATAAATTTAATGTCGATAACATGGGGTTTGTAATCGTAGCAATTTAGAATTTTAGATAATCTATTCTTATCGATAAAGCGCATTCTTATAGTTTTAAGTGTTTTAACGTTTGTGTTATTTATATTATATTTTATATAATATGGTATATTGATGACCTTGTAAAAAATAAACAACAACAAATATCACATTAATTTTATTTATTTAATTTTATTATTATTTATATTTATTATTTTTTTTATTAATTTGAAAATTGTAATTTAAAATTTAAATATTTAGATTTAACTAAAAATTATGATTTTTTTACTTTCATAAATATCAAATAATAAAAATGTAAAGAATTGAATGAATAATAAAAATATACGCTAAAAAAATTTGACTCCTAATTTAGTTTTAAAATTGAGGTGGTACGTGTATTGATTATAAAAGTGTCTGGTGGTACTCGATGATAAAAAGGTTGGGAACCCCTGTCTTATAGTATCACATATACAAATTGTACCACGATTGTTTAGATCGTATTTGTCCGAATATTATTATTATTATTTCTTATTATTATTATTATTATTATTATCACCACGACGAAAGTGATTGTGATATCTGTTATTCTATTATCAATCATTGTATAAACTGTCAACACTTCGTCGTTGGTGATACGTTAAAGGTCCTTTCACACACGTCCGATCCGAATCCGATCCGGGTCCGTTCCGTCATGGCATCCGTTTATTTGTAAATATGAACTTCTTGTTCTTAAATGGATGTATTTATACACGTCCGTTCCGAGCTTTCCGAGCTCTCTCCGATCAAAAAAATATTGTCGCTGACCGATTTTCTGTCCGAGCTCGGACAAGTTTGGGCACGGAATGGTGCCGGATCGGCCATGTCTGAACAAGCATCCGATCGCATTTCATGTTTACGATATGCAACTGATATATTTTCATCATTTTCATTCCACTCATCAGAGGATCTATCTGTCATAATGGACAGCGAAAAATTAATTGAGCTCGTCAAACTTCATGTCGGGTTATATGACTTAAGTAGTCCAAATTACAGTGACATTACATGGAAAGAAAAGGTATGGAAAGACATTGCAGATGAATTGCATCAAACAGGTAAGATAATATATTTGAGTGTAGTTAATATTATATATATTTTAAGTTTTAAAGAAAAACAGTTTAAATTATTTAGTTTAACTTCATTTTATTTAATAATTGAAATTTAATAATGTATAAATGTAATAATATAATAATTAATAATATAATTATTTTAACATAATATAAGTATCAATTTTTATACATAACAAAGAATTTAGATAAACATTAAACATTAAGTAAAGAAATATGTATATAATATTATAAGTATTTTATAAGTTGATAAGTATTAAACATTATTTTGCCATGGAATAGAACCACACGGGGAATTAAAAAATTATTTGTATGTTTCTCTGATACCAAAAGCTTCTCGTGTTGCATTTCCACCTTGTACTGAAATATTTGTCAAATTTATAGGAGTTGAACGGTCCTCACTCGTTTGTTTATTGTCACGAACATAAGTTAACTTCCCGTCATATTTTTTTATAAAATTGTGAAGTACACATGTTGTTAATATAATTACATCAGCATTTTCTGGTTTAGCTTGCATTCGTCTATTATATATTCTAAACTTTTGTGATAATAGACCAAATGCATTTTCCACAACTCGTCTTGCTCGGCATAGACGATAGTTGTATACTCTTTTTTCGTTACAATCTAGCTGTTTTCCGGGATATGGTCTCAGTAAATACGTTTTTAATGGGAAGGCTTCATCGCCTAAAATAACGTACGGTACTTCATTTGTAGTTCCTGGCAACGCTTCTTTTGGTGGTACATTCAGTTTATTTTGATCAAGAGCTTTCCCTAATTTTGAATGAGTCATGATGCCTCCATCACTATTTTTACCAAAACTTCCCACATCTACAGCTATAAAATTATAATGAGCGTCAACTAATGCTAATAAAACTATAGAAAATGTTTTTTTATAACAGAAATATTGTGATCCACTATTAGAAGGAGCTTGGATTGTAACATGTTTGCCATCGATAGCACCTAAACAATTGGGGAAGTTCCAGCAAGTCCAAAACTCTAATGCAATTTCTTTCCACTTTTGTTCAGTTGGAATAGGCATGACTTCTGACATAACAATTTCAATAATTGCATAACATACTTCTATAATGATTTGGTATACAGTAGAAAGACCTAAACGATAGCTGAACGAAATAGTTTTCATTGAATCTCCGGTTGCTAAGTATCTGTTATTAAAAAAATAATAAATATATATAATATAATATTAAAAACAATAGAGATAGTGTATGTATAATAATATATTATACTAATGCCAATTTAAAAGTTTTTTAGATTCTGAGTGGAGCGAATTTTTTTATTTATTATATAGTTTTTTATTTGTCATATCCCTGTCTGTCTATACCTTATGTCGATAAAAAAACAATCACTGGCTGAAAAACCTTAATATTTTATTTATTATTATATAATTGGGATATGATACCAGGTATATCTGGTAACTTTTGACCATTGTAAAATCAATACATTTATTGCTCAGCTCAGAATTTAAAATTCTCAAAAGTATTTATTAATGAACTTAAAAAATTTAAAAATATATTAGTACAATTTTTTTTATAGACATTTGAAGTTTAAATAAAAATTCTATTTCACTTGCTTCTTTAAACACGAATACAAATTTTCTGATTTTGTTTAATTTTAGTTCCAACATGCAAAAACCGTTGGAATAATTTGAGAGACATGTATAGAAAAGCATTAAAACGGAATAAAACAACTTCAGGTCAAGCAACAAAAATTATTAAAAAATATAAATACGAAGACCAATTAAATTTTTTGAAAGAGTTTTTACAAGAA